GAAATTTATGAAAATTACTACTAGTATTATTATTATTGTTGTTGTTGTTGTTGTTATTGTTATTATTATTATAAAAATAAAGCATTCAGACCTGAGCAATTTCATATACATCATCACAAATCTTTGACATGTATTCACTTCTCTCAAACAAACGTTTGCGATCAAATTCCCACCTTACATCTCTACCTGAAGCTTCTATTTTAGCACGAACTTCAAAGTACGATTCTTTCCATATAACAAGTGATGCTTTCGCATCTTGAATCTTTTTCTTTATTAACTTAGGTGGCTCCCTGATAATTACATATAATTGAAAAATTAAAACCTGTAATTTACACTCAAGAAAAATTATTAATATATTAGCACATTGTAATTTTAATATTGCTGTTATTGTTATAAATCATGTCATATATAATGTATATACAAAAATAAAATGTCATCTATAATGCATATAAAATATATAAAAATTTTACATCATCTTGGATGAAGCTATATTAATATCTATATAATTGAATTATATTAATATATATAATATTAATATAATTTTACAGAACAATAATAGCAATTTGAAACCAATCTGAGCTATAGAATGATGTTATATAATTTAGATTCAATCTGAGCCATTGGATTTTATGGAATTGCTATTTTTTGTTACATATTAGAATTTTTGAACTGATTTTTGTAATATTTTTTTGATATTTTTAATTGTTTAAGTAAACAAACAAAGTTTTTCATTTTTTCAGTACCTGAACACATTTTATATTTTTTTCAGTAGCTAAACACAGTTTTACAAAAATTAGTTATAATATTTTGTGACATATTTATTATTATTTCTCATTTATAATAACAACTTTTTTAAACTGTTGTTACAACCCTCTCTTAATCGTTAAACTCTAAAATATGAGACTTGACAAATAAGATTAAAGAGAAACAAAAGCATTACTACCATGGTGCCATGGTGGGGATCAAACTCAAAATATTTACAAAGCAAGTGCCCTATCACTATTAAATAAGTTAATTCCATTTAATATTGGTGGCAAACTTGTTTATTTTTTTTTAAATAAAAATATTTAAGGTTGAAATTACCTTAAAATTTAATTTTAAAATGTTTCAATGTTTGATAGTATGTCAAATTGTTATGTCAAATTGTTATGTCAAATTGTTAGAAATAATCTTTTTTTAATGAAAATAATTCTATATTGCACCTGTTAATTTGAGTGAAATATTTGGCATTTTAAGGTCAATTATATCTTTTTCAGACATTTTTTATTGTGGATTAAAAATCCATAATGATCAGTAAAAATCCATTATGATCAACTTTATTTTAAAAATTTATAAAGAAAAATACTAGATAGATACAGCATAACTTATACATTATTAAAAGATACACAGTTCAAAAAAAAAATTGAGCACAAATGGCATGTTCTTAAACAAGTAATGTGTCATCATCTAAAGTCTAAAAAACAATAAAATATATATTTTTAAATCTTTTATAAGGAGATTATCATAACAAATGCAGTCAATATAAACAGGATTTTCTGAAATTGGAAGAGTTGAATATATTTTTAAAGATTATATAAAAAGTTATACTGATGGTATAAACAACTTCAAATGGCAAAATAATACAGATCTTAACAATATTATGCAAGTTTAAACCAAGCACCTGAAGTAATGGATTAAAATGCCAAGACTTGCAATTTACTTGGTAAAACAGTTGTGTAGGTTTTTAACTGCTTTTATTTATTATGTTATTCTAACTAAACTAAATAACAATATTCTAACATTGATAATAAATATCTAGTTAAGGCTCTTACTGCATCACTTTAAGATTAAGCATAATCTAGTTTTAATAATCATGGACACATAAACAATGTTTTTTGTACAGCATTTTCAGAACAAATCAATATCATCCTTTAAATGTCAAACAGCTTGCTAATAATAAAATTTAATCTTTTTTTAGTAATTTTACTTGCTTTATTTTGAGAAATCAGACTAGCCTTGTTCCATGAAAGCTATCCTGTCTGCATTTCATTTTTATACACCAAGTTAGTTTTATGTTTAATTACAGTAGAGTTTTAACTTATGAAAACTCTACTGTAATTAAACAAAAACTGTTTAGTATCACCTCATGCAGACACCTCTTGACAAATCTACTGACAATACATAAAAAATTATCTCATGATAAATGCTTAGAAAAAATATATATGAAATTTCTGCATGTAGCCATTTAGAAGTTTATATTTTAATAAAATGTAAGTTGAAGTTTTCATACTAAACTTCTGAGTATTCTTCAAATTAAAATGTCCAAAACAGTTTTAAATATTAAATCTTGTAATAGGCTTATCATGTATTAATTTCTTTATATAATAGTAATAATTTTTATGCATATAATATAGTATATATTATATGTATAAAAAACAAACATAGCAAGCTATGCGAGTTGCTCCTCTAAACAGCTTTTTAGGAGAGCTTTTGGTTTTTGTGAGAGCTATCTGCTTATTCATTAAAAAATTGCTTATTAATTACAAAATTTTGGTTTTATACTTGTTAGAAGCCCAGGACGCGACAAATTTTTTTTTTTTAATGAAAGTTGACATTCGTATCTTTATTTAACAACGAACCTCTAATTTAAGAGACATATGTAATATTAGAAAGTTTTATTTTCAGATTATTTTTATTCTAGCTAACAAGTTATTAGAAATATCAATGATGCTTATTGAATTTAATTAATTTTTATTTCTTAAAAACAATTTTTTATGCATTTACAAAGTGCACGCAAATTAATGATAATTAATATGCAATGACCTAACCATTGTAAATTATTATCCAATGATATTAAATAATAAATTTTTTCTCAATTTAGTTTGCTAAATATAGTTACATCATATTATTAGTGTTGTTAAACTCAAAATAAAAAATATAATATATCGCGCCATGTCAAGCATATGTTTTATATGTTAATATTACAAGAATATATACACAACAAGTGTCATTTATTGCAGCATGAAAAAATCCTTTAGACAAGCATTGTTTTTACTGCTTATAAAAAAAGTTATACATTTTCTTTCTAAAAGTTATACAATTTTAGAGTGTGGGCGAGAGCTAAAGCTTCCTCGCTTCCCGCCGAGGCCTATATATATATATATATATATATATATATATATATATATATATATATATATATATATATATATATATATATATGTATATATTTATATATACACTTATATATACATATTTGTATGTGTGTATATTATATATATATATATATATATATATATATATATATATATATATATATATATATAAGGATACTATATATATATAAATATATATGCATGTATATATGTATGTATGTGTGTGTATATACATATATATATATATATATATGTATATACATATATATATATATATATATATATATATATATATATATATATATATATATATATATATATATATATATATATATATATATATATATATATATGTATATACATATATATATATATATATATATATATATATATATATATATATATATATATATATATATATATATATATGTATATACATATATATATATATATGTATATACATATATATATATATATATATATATATATATATATATATATATATATATATATATATATATATATATATATATATATATGTATATACACACACATACATACATATATACATGCATATATATTTATATATATAGTATCCTTATATATATATATTAGGGCTGTCCAAAAAAAATTTTTTTTTCAGATTTGATTGCATAGTTGTTTATTTTGTGCCATTTGACATATTAATTAACTGTGCAAAAAATCTTTCCGATCAGATAATGTTTACGAAAAATGTGAAAAACATGGAAAAAGTAACAAAGTTCCACAAATTTCTAAAACCCGGTTAACTAGATTTTTCAGATTTGATCAGTTTTAATTATCTCTAAATATTAAATTCTGAATACAAATTACAATCCACATCCACTTTATACTGGTTTATTAGCAGAGAAATTAATGAAATAAAATACTGCAATACGACTAAAGTTCTGCGGTTTTTGTTATATCAGAATTTTTCCAAAATAAAACACTAAGATTTTTGACTCTTTGTCATTGATTAAAATACGAATTATAAACAAAAAAAATTATTGTAAAGGAGTAACAGTTTCTCAAACCGTTATCAACTACTAAGTAGGTCAACTCAAAAACATATGAGCAATTAACATTTAATTATCGTAATGTTATAGTTCGTGCAATGTTAATGCTAGCGAGGACTATAACTCTTCAGAGTACACTTTCTGGCATCTGGCACTCGCTTTCTGTGATCCTCAACCACCTGAATTAACCTCTGCATTTCAGATTCATTCCTTGTAATCGATTCATTAAACATCGACATTAAAGCCACAGATCGTTTGGCAGCATCATTTACTACTTTCAATGAATATACTAAATTTTTTCCTTCTTGGTATTCTGGGGAATCATTCCAGGTAGCTGGATCGTTGTTGAACAGAAAATCAATATCAACCTTCATTGACCGCAACGCACTTGCTGAAACTGATGTCACCAGCATGTCCAGAGATTTCTTCTCTAGACTTTCAATGTTCTTTAATTTGATCAACCTTTCAGACCAGTTCTCACCGTGAAATTTCATGTTGGAAATCATTTTTCGCTTCTCTTCCGTTTTAAGTTTGTTTGAAAACAAAGCTAGTGGGACCAATTCTGGTGAAAGGTACCACAAATGGTTTTGAAATTTCTTGACTGCTGCTTCGGAAATCGTTTTATTCACAACTGCAAACTGCTTAAGTTGCTGAAACAGAAACAAGTCATTAACTGGAGCATCGCTGGCATTTGGGCATGATATCCAAGATTTTACATAAACCAGACTAGCAAATAAGCAAAATTCACAGAGATTTTTTTCCTCTTTTGTGGTCAACTTGAACTCTTCACGAAATAAATAAATCTTAAAACAATAAATAACCTTGGCCATCCAGCAAGCCATGTGATAAGCACCAGGGATCTTGAAATGATAATTTTTCTCTTCTTGATCAGGCAGTTTTCCAAGTATTAACAGACAGAGATCCATGATTTCTTTGTAGTCATCCCTTGGCATTTTAACATGCATGTTTTCTTTGAGAAATGCCATCACTTCATTTTGTAGTTCTTGCACCAGGGGTATTTTCATTCGAATGTCATCCAGAGGTTTAAAATTTCCTTGATTAACTTTGGGCCAATATTGCTGAAATCTCTGGAAAAGAGGTATGTTGGGACCAGATGATGGTCCAAATAGTGACCCAAACACTCCTGCTACTATGATCTCATGAACATGGTGTCTGCAAGCAAAATATAACAAATTTCTACCTATATGTTTCTCTAGAACTACACATGCACCATTTTCGGAGCCAGTGTTAGAGGCTGTAGTATCAAAACTCATTCCAATAACATCACCAATTATGTCCCAGAAATTAAGCAGATGAATAACTGCTTTTGCTTGGGCTTCTCCAGTTCCAGCTGATAGTTTTGCTATTCCAAGTATTTTGTCAACATTATGACCTGTCACACCTACAGATAGCCGGTCAACATTTGCTTTAGGGTCTGCAGAATTTGTACGATCTATCATCAGTTTGCCATTCCAGTGGACGATTAATGGTGGTTTGTCCAAATCGCAGAATTCAGTTCGAACAGTGGCTTCAATGTTTGATCGATGATAGGTTCGTTTTCTACGGACTGTAGAACATGACAATGATCCATCATCGAGGTTCTGTCCACCAGCCCTTGCAATTGCTGCTGCTAGTATAGTAAATTTTGTGTCAGATAGATTAATTCTGTCTAATGTTGATGAAACAACAGGAGAGTCAAGAATTGTATCTAAGATACATTGTCGTTTTGGAGTACTTGCTAAACTTGAATCAGCTGACCCTGAAGAACTTGCTTTACTGACTTGTTGTCTGTAATAAACAGGGATTTCTATCTCAAAATCTCTATCAACCATTTTGTCATTATTAACAGCATCGTTATCGTTGTCATCACTATAACTTTCGTCATGTAAAGGTTCAATAACAGGAACTATTGCACTCGCACCAGACTGTCTTAGCTCTTCTTTTAGCTTTCGTTCTCTCTCTGCTTGTTTCCTTGCTTCATTTCTTGCTTCTAATTTTGAAAGTTCTTTGTCCTCTCCAAACATCACCATTTTTCTCTGACATCTCTGATCCAATAAAAAGTCTTTATCTTCTTCAATTCTGATCATGGTTTCAGCATCCTTGTGGGCAATGTCAAAAAGTAGGCCAATGGTGTCTGTAAATGATTTCTCTCTTGATTTCTGCGAATCTGACAATCTGGATTTATTTTTTTTTTATTAATTTAAATTCTTGGACTAAAGTTTTCAACTTTAAGACTACATTCGGATGAAATGCTGTCGGAATACAGGCTTTATTCCAAATAATAATCAGTTCATCAACAGTTGTTTTAAGACTTTCAGGCACTGACTTTTTGGTTGAATTAAGATGATAAAAAAATGTTTTTAAAACATCAGATGTTAAGGGAAGAACTTTATCTGGAAGATTTGGCTCTGGTTGTCCAATTAAAAAGATTTTGGTTTGAAGTCGTGTAGAGATAGCAACACGAGATGATGCTGCCATTTCAATGATAACTGAAAAATTATGAGAAAATCAAAACTCAATACCATATTATACAAACTTATCATTCAGTTGATGGTTTATGCAGCTGCAGCAATATATAATAGTAATTATTACTAAAGAAATTAAATAAATATTTTCAAATTAGAAATTATTATTATCTGCACTTAATAACAAACAATACACTACCAGACTACCATGCTAGTTTTCTGTAATAGGTTACTAAGGTTAGGTACTATCAAAATATTAATACATTTGTTGTCAAACTGAAATTCCAAATAAAAATAATATTTATACTTGTAAACCTTTTTATTCTGTTTGAACAAATTCTAAATTGAGTTAAATAATAGTATTAAAATTATGAATACAAATTTTAACAAAATGATATAAACACAGTTGTTTTAAACACTAGCAGACATTTTTTAGTCTGGTGCCCTGATGACAGTTAATCTGCTGCACTTTAATTAATCTATAAAGCACGCAATCAGACAATATTTCAATGGAAAAAATCTAACTAACCAGGTTCTAGAAATTTTTGGAACTTTGGAACTTTTTCCAGGTTTTTGACGTTTTTCGTAAAACTTTATGGTCATTGAGCACCCCCTAAACATTATCTGATTGGAAAGATTTTTTACACAGTCAATTACTATGTCAAATGGCACAAAATAAACAACTATGCATTCAAATCCGAGAAAAAAATTTTTTTCCTGTGTTCACATGAACAGCCCTAATATATATATATATATATATATATATATATATATATATATATATATATATATATATATATATATATATATATATATATATATATATATATATATATATATATATATATATATATATATATATATATATATATATACAATACAACTATGTATATATAAGTGTATATATAAATATATACATACATATATATATACACATATACATACACATATACATACATATATACATACATACATATTTATATATATAGTATCCATATTTATATAAATATATATATATATATATATATATATATATATATATATATATATATATATATATATATATATATATATATGTATATACACACACATACATACATATATACATGCATATATATTTATATATATAGTATCCTTATATATATATATATATATATATATATATATATATATATATATACACATACAACTATGTATATATAAGTGTATATATAAATATATACATACATATATATATACACATATACATACACATATACATACATATATACATACATACATACATATTTATATATATAGTATCCATATTTATATATATATATATATATATATATATATATATATATATATATATATATATATATATATATATATATATAATATATATATATATATATATCTTAGATTAAGTGATTGAGGAAGTAGATTAAAATAAAAATCTACCTAAGTACTTCATGAATATTTATAACTCTTGCAACACGTTCAGTTATTTCCCATGCAATTCGCTCCATCAAAGGCACCATTCTTTCATCACTGTTGTAATGGCGTGAAATAATCCATACCATATGTAAGGCATTCATTAAAGATGGGACAGTATCTAACACATTTTGAAAGCTGTTACCCATGTTTAAGTTTTTAAAGTGGCGTTCAAGTGTTGATAGAAATCTTACATTGTCTTTAGCTTCAACATAATATTTTGCTAACTCAACTCTAAATAAAAAAACAAATTATTAAAAAGAGAAAAATAATTGTTACTCTGACTATAAACTATTAAATGTTAACAATTAAATTACTTATAATAGTTATAACTAGAAATTGACTCTGAATCTGTTAACTTTAATATTTGAACAACTTTATCAACAACCCCAGTATTTAACTGTTCATATATACCACTCAAAATTGCATTACGCTCTCTCCAAAAATCTAATTCAGCCATTGGACCTTTACCATGTGGTGTACGTTTTAAAACAAGGTCAACAACAGCCGAGATTGTTGTTTCCCATTGACTGATCAATTTTTCTAGTTTAGAGATGAGTTGAGCATCACGAGCTTGCACTGAAATATCACCATTCAGCTCCAATACAAATCCAGGAATCTCAAGCTTTATATCTCCTTAAAAAAATTTATAAATGACAAAATTTATATCTCATTCTTTGTATTTTTTATTTTTTTTTATTTATACATTAGTAAAAAACCTTCAATTTGTTTAATAGTCACAGATATCTGTGATATGAACTTGTTGATTTGATTAATAAACTCGTCTCTTGCATAAAAATTAGCATGAGGTTCTTGCCAGCTTTGTTCTATTGAAATTTCATTTATCTTATCACGATCAAGATGAGTTAATTCTTTTTTATGACCGCTGTATGATAAAAGCACACTGTACACCTAAACAAACAAAACATTTTTTAAAAAAAAATTGATTTTTCACAAATTTTCTGCAAGTGAAAAAATATTTTTGTGAACTAATAAGTAATTAAGTTTATTAGTTTAGAACTGATATTCAAGGGAAAAAACTAGATGAAAAAGAATTATTGGAGCACTTAAAACAGCCACAGTAAAAAGATGAGACTTAATTGAATGACAAGTAATACGAAAATAAATTTTAGTAGATGGAACAAGAGAAGCTAGGTCTTTAGAGCAGCGCCCATTATAGTATTTATAGAAAAGAGAAAGAGAAGCAACATGACAGTTATGTGACAATAGTTGAAGGTTGGCTTAGAAGAGAAGGTCCAACTATGTTTACAATGCATTTTAGTGTTTTTATATCACTGAATCCTAGCAGGTCCTTTTCTTGATCTACTTGGATTCAGTGTTTATAAGGGCTAATAGTAAATGTGTGGAAATTTTGGAAATTTTTTGAAATAGTTTAATTTACTATAAGAATAAATTACCAAATCTGTCCCATTTGTTAATGCTTTCCCCAACTAAAATGTACAATTAGTGTAAAGAAAAATTCAAACCTGTATCAAACTATCTTCCAAATTAATTATTAGTGGACTATTCAAAAATCCATATTGTAAAAAATTAGGAAGAATATCTTCAGCTTCTTCAAGAGATAAAGGAATAGGGATAGGCTTAGTAAAATTATTTAAAAAGAAGTAATATTCACAGTTGTCTGTATTTTCCGGTATGTTGCCATTACTCAAAAATATATTATACTGTATTTTCTTTTTACATTCATTCTAAAAGAAGAAAAGTAATTTTAAATAATCATTAACAACACCATTAACAACACCATTAACAACACCATTACACTCGAAAACTTTTAAAAATTTCTTACTTTTTTTTTAAATTTTATATTATTTTTAACATTGGTCACATTCTTAACTTCTGCAGAATTTTCAAAATTTTCAATATCCACATT